TTTTAAATAGAATGTTAGAAATCTGTATTATTTTAAGTGAATGTATAAAATGAAATAAATTAACAATTCTAATTATACTACTCAAAAATCTTTATTTCTGCTCATTAACCCTTCCTTCTATTTTAAATATAATGTATATCAGTAAATAATAACAATGTAATAAAAAGAACAAAGCTATCATCAAAACCTAACGAACTCTTGTGTTTGGGCAGACTTGGAGCCTACAGTACCTTTGTTGTTGCAACATTTGAAGTCCAACACATCATTTAAAAAAGGTGTTAGCAAAAAAACATAATGTTTAATTAAAATGAGGCTTTTTGAAAAAAAAAAAAAAAATAAACAAAACCTTAGACGTAAAAGGAACTTGACCACTACTTCTCTTTTACCTCAAGGAACAAAATTTTTTGGATCAAAACGTGTATTTATTTTACTTGAAAAGTTTACGTTATTTTGCTATATGAAATGTTAAATTTTATGAATTTCAGGGGTGACAGTTTTGGATTTGGTATATCTTAGCGTGTAACATTTGTATTGAACCCCCTATCCCTAGATATTATGAGCAGAAAGAAGGCAAGTTGTGATAATTGATTAGGATGATGCCATAATGCGTTAATAATAATACATAATATAGTAGTATTTATAGATTTATTTATATTACAATATTTCTTTACCAGTAAAATTAATTAAATAGTTAATTGACAAAGGTAAAAACAATAATAAAAAGTAATAATACATGTATATGATTTTATATAGATAGATTGATTTACCGTTAAATATAAATAATTATAATAATAATTATATTTTATTATTAAAATAATATTTACTAATTTTCACGTTATTATTAAATTAACTGGGATAATAACTAGTATCATTATATGCACCATATTGTTGCTGTTGTTGTGGCAGTTGTTGTTGTTGTTGTTGTTGTTGTTGTTGTTGTTGAGATTGTTGATATCCATAGCCACCCCCACCTTGATTATTATAAGCCAATTCATCTTCTGCAAGCAACTCTTTAACTTCCCAAACATTTTGTTTACTTCCAACAGAAAATTCCAAGTCTTCTTTTGTCCTTGATGATTGATGCAGTCTTGGTAAATTCCAGGGCCATGTGCCGCCCCCTGGAAATTTAATTGCGTTCTATCTGTAGGGCGGGGCATGGTCAGATTAGCCTTATGTACACAAGGAAGATGAGAATGACTGTAAGTGTTCAAGGTAGCGTACGTGCTTCAACGATTGTCAAATTTC